GTCAAGAAAATATTTCTGATGCGATTGACAGGTAAAGGTATCCATTGCCTGTGATATAATCGCAAATGAAATCAACAGTCTTGTAAAGTGAAACATTGGTGGATACAGGTTCTACATTGATAGTGAACATAACTTCTTTTTTAATGTTCATGGTATCGAATAGAACTTTTTATAGAGTGTTTTGAAGCATCTTATGTAATTTATTCTCTTGATGCCCTATCTAAATGTTTCAAAAAGACTGTTTCAATGAATAATTACGCTTAAAATTAGGTGTACACACTATTTAGGATTACTTGTTTCCATTTTCTGTATATCTCGGCTATTCAGTGTTTGTTTTATTTTGAATTTTCTATTGATTTATCTATATATGACCGAGACGCTTGACCTCAGTTGACATTTCGGCTGTTAGTATGGATAGGGCTTCAACAGCAAATCTCTATTTCAGCATTTTCTCTTCAGTTATCTCTACCTGGGTCCATGGTCGCCTATAGGCTTTGATCTCCACTTCACACGATACCTCTTATATCATCGTCACATCTAAGCTCAACTCAACATTACTCATTTGAGGGCCTGGCGCGTGATGTCACTTAGACGTCTGTTCAGCATGTTTCCGATTTGCTTCCATTTCCTCAGGCATATTTGTAGGGTAATAGATTCTTGTTATGTCCGCTGCCAGAGTTCCATTGGTTCTTATGCTTTCTGGATACCTGACATTCAGTATGCAACGAAGGCAAATGTTCCTTAATGTCTGAAGTCTCTTCGGAAAGCTTTCAATGACAAGTCAAGTCTCTGAGTTATTTAGAAAAACTGAATGACGTCACTTGGTTGTAACGCTGTTGAAAGTTTTTCAAAGTTGTTGCTTTTTTCGATGAGCATGATGCATACAGTTGCATTTTGATCCGAACATGACATGCATTTCCTGAATCTAGTCTTTGACGGGCAGGGTTCTACGTCCAGTTCATCTTTTATTCTCAGTAATTAGTTTTCGAGGACAGCAGCATGATCCCGCACCATCTTTTTCAATGCCTCAGTCGTGCATCTTTGGTAGTTCGACAAGGTAGCCTTTCTTCCAATCAGTATGTACCTTTTCTTCCCTTCAAACTTTCTACACTAGTGGAGTAGGAATGTCTGCCCCCAATCTGAAAATAATATTTGCTTTCAGGAGTAACCTACATCACCTTTCACATATAAATCAAATGTTTTCATTCGCTTTACCCATCCCCACTCCCAGGAGCACAGAACAAGTGAAACTTGTCAAGTTATATTTTGTTAAAATTGAAGTGTTGTCAGTGTCATGTCAAACTGTTTGCGTATATTAATTAATTAATTAACAACTGTATCAATGTACTAAATATTTCCGCATTTAAAAAATCCCAAGAAAGTGTATTAACATTCAAAGTGTTCCAAAGTGAACCATTATTCTACTAACCTTATCCAAATACCATTTCAAGCATATTACAGTGATAGAGAATACAACTACCTTACCGATAGGTCTGTCATTTACGTGTATTCGATACCTCAGTCAATCAAATGGTGAATGGTTAGATTTATGTCCAGATTAAGTTGCATTCTATGTTAATCTAACATGCACATCTCTTTGGAAAATAATTTCACAAACTGATCTGTGCCTCTGTTCATATTCTTGTTTCAATAATAGCCTGATAAATGTGAAATATATATGCGAAAGAGCTGGCTTACAGGTGGAGGGAGGTGGAAAACAAAAAAACAATGTAGGAAACTTGTGAAAATAAAAGTACGCTTGATACTTTTACATGTGAAGTATTTTATGCCCTAAGTACTGGGGAAGGAAAGATCGCATCATTTGATGTAAAAAAACAACTTACTTCATTTCACGGATTTTTAGATATTTTCTGAGATACACAGTCTTTTGAAATACCCTTTATTCTGAAATAAGTGTGAGGCCGTATTGCAGGGTCCAAACGTAGGATAGGACGCTCACAAGGTGAGAAAGAAGGCCATTCAGCCACTGGGACTTGACTGAATGGACCATAAAATTCCAACTTCTGACAATTAGCGACAAATAGCTCAGTTGCCAGCCGGTTTGATTGGTTTGATTGACACTGCTGGTCTTGGTTTCTCACTGTACTTCCAGTTGACTTGCTGTTTAAGCTGGATTAGTTTTCAAATGTTGATCCACAGGGACCTGATTGGTTACAGGTTTTACTGACACTTGATATTGGCTAGAGAAACACTGGCCTATGGGCTTGCCGTGTAACAGGTAGGTTGTGAATTGGAACGTGGTGAGTGGGTACTGTTGAAGACACCTAGCTTGGATAAAACGGCTTTTCAGTATTCCTCGGTTCTTCTGTGGTTCTCCATCTGATGTCAGCTCATGAATAAACCTATAACCAATCAAATCCCTACAAGCTAACACTACCTATTAAGTATATTCATTCCCTGCCTTCCGTCATGCAATAATGTTACACTGAGTGAATTCTAGAGCTTAATTACGAGACATGGTGATTAAAAACTCAGGTTTGTGTGAATCTTAACCGTCAGATTTCTGAACGTCATCCGCATGTTTACGGATGGGGAGGAAAACGTCAATTTGTCTCTCATTTTAAGCACACCATGATGATACTTAAAACAGAATTGATAATGATAAAGCATTCAAAGTTATCCGTCATATTCCCACTGATCTAAATTTCCCCCTACATATTCGTGGTCTACATAAAGTAAAAGCCACTGGAACCTACACGATGAGATCAAACCTTTGTGTTTAAAAGCGATTCAATCAAGGATCATTTCAGTTCCAGCGGTTTCCAAATCACTCTATAAGATCAATTATTTGCTTTTCTATCCTATGTTCTTTACAAGCCAGTGTTATTACTCTAAAAAATTACCCTGCATACTTCACATTTAACTGTATGTAGTCAGTTATGACAATTTGACCAATCACTTTTGACTGATTAATAATGCCCATTAAAATTTTTCAAACGAATGGATGCTGAACAAAGAGTACTCTTTGCGATAATCTCTTCTTCATCAGGCTCCACAGTTATCTAAACATCGTAGTGAATGAATGAATTAGTGTTATGAACAAAATTAATGCTGTTTAAGTAACATGGAATCAATAATGTCAATAGATTACAGTGCAATAGCATCAACATAAAATAGCTGAATGTCAGAAAAATTAGGAAAGATAAAATTAAAAATTCGTGAATTTATAATCTCCACTAAAGGCCAGGGCAGTAGTAACCGTTGGACTTGCTTCTTTTGAACACAGAGCACTGGTTGTTTGAGGCGAACTGCAATAGCCTCAGCTGTTTGGAGCAAGCTGTGCTTCGATGATTTTAGCAATTTATTAGGCACGCTATAGATGATAGAGAAGGATTCCTCAACGCTGGCTGTCTTTGTGGCCGGTCAGTTTGCACCAGACGGTCCAACATCGAACTTTTCATGGTTTTCACTACACCTTTACTTAGCCATGGTGGGAGATGTTCTCGAGCAAGCATGAAAAATCAAGTTTCTAGAGCAACGGCCAATATAACTCGCTCCACCATCAGTGAAGTTGAATTGGTAGATACAATTTGAAGTGGCCAGCTAGTCTAGGTACTTCATCTTTCAGACGAGGTAGCACCATCGGTCGTGTAGAGAATAAGACGTGTAGTTCGCCAGCATTAAAAAATCTTTTGCTTTTTATTTCATAAATTACTAAATGTACATATGTTCCACTAATATTCTCGGTTAATCTTCAACCCTTCAGCGTGCTGTTACTGACTAAATATTTGTAAACGTTGTTTATTAGGGATTTGATTAGGTCCACAACTGATCACAAAATGACTGTAGTTAGAGAACCAATGAAAGTCGGAGAGTACTGAATAACTGTGTTCCGTCTATTTTAAGACTTTAAATAAAGCAAGAACAACAGTGGCTTGTGCAGAATAATATGGTACCATCATTTATTTCGTCAGCTTCTCATCATCTGCTTACAACCTAAATAAATTGTGAGGTTTACGTACAGAAACGTTTTAACACACTTGCAAATTTTACATGTTGTCAGTTGACAGAAAGTTCCACAATTAGTGAAAAGTGCTCAGAAAATTGTGCTTATATAGTTTTTACATAGGCAGTCCAAGTCAAAATAAATGTGTGCATACAATGGTAAAGGAGTTACGTAACAAAGACGAGAGGTGAGCAAAATGATGAGCAACTAATAAATTTGGTAACGATGTACTGAGTTAAAATTACGTCATAGAAACAAGAGACAAGCAATATTACAGATTATAAAAAAGAGAGGTGAGGTTAAAGACAAAGATTACGTAATCAGGGTAGAGAATAAAGACATGCAGTAACCATGGCAAGGAAAGACTAACAACTGCTTCTTTCTGAACACATAAATCTGGTTTCAAGCGTTTGATAGAAATTGCTTCTGCAAACTTGAGCAGAATGATACTCCTTTGTCTATTGATAATTTTAAAGGATTTCTCGATTTCCATCTCATGATCCGTATCGAAGAGATGTCTGGTAATAGTGCTATTATAAGAGTTTGTTTCCTTGAGAAGTAGGCTTTTCGGCACATGTTCAGAAAATCGTAGATATACCCTTCTTTACATGTATCTGCGGGAGCAGTTACATTGGAAGGACAGAAACACTGTTTAGCACTACACAGCCGATGATGGGGATAGGACGCAGAACCTTCAGATTACAAGGCGAGCTTGCTAACCACTCGGCTACTTGTTTCTCAATAGTTTTTAAACTGAAGTGATTTCGTGTTCAAACTTGAAATTGATCGAAACCTCTGCCAACTTGAAAATTAATTTAGTGCTCACTAGTAACTGACGGCAGGATGAAGTTAACTGAAGTTCTAGTGAGGAAGTTGTGACCTTCAGTGTCCACCAAGTCGAATGTCGCTGATGAAATTGAATGGTGGTTGCTCTACATATATAGTGAGAGAGAAATAAATGTTTCTTTGCTCAACCTTTTGTCTTTTAAACTCTAATGTTTATTTCTGTAACTTTTTACTTTCTGCTTTGTAGATCGTTTCCATCGTCTACAAGTGTAAACACTCTGATCAGTAAATCGAACAGTGCTAATCTGACAAATGATCCACCGAAGAGTCCAATCTTACACACTTCAATATTTCCATTGTCATCACAAGAATATCGTAAAGATTATAAAGGGATACGATTCACCTGTGAAGCTAAAGATGATTTAAAGTCGAATAATCAAACCAGTAACATTATCTTAACTGGAAATTCAAATACTTCTATTACTACTACTACTACTAATAGTAATACTACTGATAATGCTAACCATCAGCAACAACTGACTACTGTACCGTGTAAAAGAATCAGTTTTAATTTAAAAGATAATTTAAAAGACACTAAAGAAGCATGTTCGAATGATACGTCACCTGAGAAAGTGATGACTGCATCAATTTTCAGTGGAATATGGCCAACAAATCCTTATTCACCATTACCGTCACCGGATATTTATCAGTTGGATGATGAATTCGATGCAGGTAAGTTGCTATCTAACATAAAAAGGCTTTTTTGTTTCTGTAAATAATCTGCTAGTCAATTTGAGGCAGTAAAGATTAATTACAAGGCACATTACTTGAAGTTGTATAAGCAATGATTGTGCTTCCTAGTCGGATGCTTGACTGTTGGCGAAATCCTCCTATAATGGGTAAAATTACTGGCTTAGATAGATGATATTAGAGTGCTTCTTTCCTGTGAGCTAGATGCTTTAATCGAAGAATTAAGCAACCCCAGTGATTATGTTTTTAAATTGGCAAAAGGTACCGCTGAATAATCTAGGTTATTATAATGTGAATATAATTCCCTTTAGTTCTAAGTGGGATAAATATAGTCCAACAGCATATTTCCATTTAATCCTGTTGTCTTCAGTCGTCTTCAGCTGGCTCCACAATTGCCCAAAAGCTCTCATGAACTACCGCTCACACGATCTTCTTCAAGTCACTCTGCCACCAGCACACATTTTTCCTTCTTCCATTCGGGTTCCACTCAACAGCGGGTGACTGAACAGTTTCATCAGCAGGTGTCCTATCCATTTCGTTCCCAGACCTACCTATTGTTTATTATCCCTGACATGACAGTCAGCGAAGGCACCTGTTGAAACGAGTCTGAAGCTTGTTCGAAATGCTTTTGTTAATGCAAACGCAAAGTTTCTGAACTTTATAGAAGGGATGACCTATCCTGATAATATACAATATGAATAATATCCACCTAAAGTTCTCTACAGTAATTTAGTTAAAAATAATGAACGAAAAGCCTGATTATCAATTTATCCTTATCGGCAGGAATTCATGATAATGAATAAACAATTTCAAATCACCCAGGATGTATAAAACATGGCTCAAGGGATAATTCCTTGGCGTCTGAAGCGACGAATACAGGCTTTGAGTCATAGCGTTAACACTACTACTCACCTGAGAGTAAGTACGTCTAGCTGACTAGTGTGGAGAGGACGAAACAGTCATCCTAGGTTATCATGTTGAACCCAGTTAGTGCTTTAACATATCGTTGTGTGTTTTGTCTCCTTGAAATGAAATTTCAAACTATTACAGTATTATGCCTTGTGAATCCACTTCGATGCATAGTGATTTACATAAATTTTATGGATGCCCAATCCTCCATAGGGTAGGTTCAAACTTTTCTGTCTTACTATTAGACATCCTCAGAAGTGAAGCTTTGAATTAAAGCGGTACCGTCTAATTCAAGCGTGTCTTTCTTCTCAGTGTCTGTTAGATTGTCTTCAGGCGGTGCAAATTATCATACATCTGCACTCAGAGAAACTAACACAAAAGAGTATCGAAAAAAAACACAAAAGGAACAACAGAATATCCCGTTTTCCAGTTCTAGTTATCGAAACTGTGTACGCTTTAATAGGGCATATTATACAACTCACTTAAATATCTGTTTTTTGATAATATGAAGGAATCTATACACCTTAGTAAGAAATAAGAAAAGTGGGTTAAGACATTTACCTCTAAGTAGGGGGAAATCTTTCTTCCTTTTTTCCGGGGCTATAGAGCAACACTTTCAACTGTCTGGAAACTCTTTGATAACTTTCTTGTCTTATGTATGTCTTATTACTGACTTAACACACGTTACAACAAATACTATTTGATACATATTTAATACATCATTTCATTTTAATGAAGTAGAAGTTTAGGGGAACCACAAAGCTTGGAAATATTTTCCCTACTTTAATGTCTATTCGTTGTCCACGTAGATAAATATATATGTCGTATCTGTTGATTGTCGGTAAAGATGTAAAGACAATAGGGACGTCCACGTTTGAATCCTGATTGAGCTTCAAGGTTGAGCTTTGAGGGTTTAGGAGCAGTGATTTCATTGCTACAGAGGGATTTACAGCCCTACACTCAACCTAAACACCTTACCTGGCTTTCTATTGGCTGAGAGATGTTTAGGCCTGCTCTAGCCGAGGATCGAGCATTCTACTGTTCAACAATTGGCGCCGGCTTTCTGATAGTGAAGTGTTGTTCTCATATGATGCAATTCACCTTATGAATGATGTTGACTTATACAGATTTTCCATTAGAGACCTTTTTCCGGCAGAGTATGAACTGTGTCTGGGTTTGTGCATAAAGGACGTTTCTGGAATTACTGCCTGAAAATTGTAACAACATTTGAAACGAAATCGCTCTTTGGACTACAAAGGAAGATTGGTATTTATTTCATGGATGATTGTCGAAACTGTGTTCAAATTGAAGGTCTACCTGAAGATGTTGTTTACAGACACAATGATGGCTTCTTAGTTGAACTATTCCCGTCAATGAACACTACAATACCTTCGTAAACATCAACTCACCTGTGAACAAGATTTTTGTCTGAACTGTATAATAATGTGCTTTTCAGTGATCAGATATATATTTCTCAGTTTTGATGGCATAGAATAATTTAAAAGTCGACACCATTCTCTTCCGGAAGGAATTTTATTCTTTATAGATTATGGAATTTGCGGGGATTTGGAATAACTTTATTCCAGTTGTTTGATTTCATCAGAAGCCAACATCAATTACAGAGATCATTGAAAAGCAGGTGACAGTTTACAGCTGTTCCGTCGTAGTTCGGAATCTTTCAGCGGTGCATCCATGACCCATTCAGAGGTAGAGCCAGATATATTTAGGTCAGGAGACTGAGATCATTGGTTGTTCATACACTCGGACAAGGATTCAGTCATCTATTGAATCCAACTTTGTCCACCAATGATGAAGCATTACCCTCCCCCAATGCCTTCAGTCAGTATCCATTTTCTTTCACTGACAAGGAGGAAACAACCGTCCATTGCTCTAGTGTTTTTCACAACGACCACTTCAACTGATGTTGATTCATGGTGAAATTTACTTCATTTTATTTAGCTGATCAGCAGGATACTACTAAAATTAGTTTCAGTAATCTGTTGGTCAAACAAATTTTTGTCTGACTAGCATTTTGTGTACAATGCTCCATTCAGTGAATTTCAGTGACATGGAGGTCAAATAACAAATTATTTTTCATAGCTAAGGTGACAAGTCATTGGACACTTTATGTAAACTAGTGGCTTGCTTAGAGCTATCTCTGTCAAAAACTTCTGTCCCTATATTGCATAAAATTTCTCTCATACGCCTTGTTTTAATCGATTAAATGATGTCATTTACTCGTGAGAGTATTTAAAATGTCTACAATCTGCTCATTAGAAAATTTCTACTTAACTTGAGAAAAGGCCTGACTGTGGGTGACAAAGTGTCCGAATACATGTGATGATTATTCTTGATTTATGTCTTTGGGTCTCGAAATTAACTCCATAACCTTTTCAAATTAGCTTTAAAATAAATTTCGTAGATTTCTGGAAGACAAAGCAGAAAAGTCGTAACAGACTGGTTTCAAGGCTAGCGAGCTCGTATACCGTTGTGCCGCTGGGACCCGATCCAATGGCCAGTGCTTTAATTCCAACTTTTCCCAATTACCGACATAGCTTAATGGTCTACGAGATCGCCTTGTAAACATCGGGTCCTTGGTTCAAACACTTGCTGAGGTGCGTACTAATGAAAAGTCTCAAATTAGGACGAAACAGTTATCCAGTATTCTCACGATTTCCAATGGTGCTCTAACCGATGGTAGTTTATGATTAAATTCTGTAATAAATCAATCAAATCCGTAAGAAACTACACTTGAACAGATTTCATTACTTGGTGAAAGAGAACTAACACGGGAAATTTAGAAACACAAGTATGTAGAAAATCGATGCGAACAGACCAAATTCTGAACTGTGGTGGCAATAACCTAATTATGGACAATATAAACTGTGTGCAGACATTGTTTATTATTATTATTGTTCCCTTGGGTTCCTAGTGGAACATAGGGCATCAACTGCACGTCTCCACTTGCTTCTGTCTTCTGCTGTACTTTTCACTTGCATCCATGTTATTCCAGACTGTTTCAACTCCTCTTCACACGATCTCCTCCATGTCACCCTTGAACGTCCCACTCACCGCTTCCCTTTCGGGTTCCACTCGAGCACTGGACTGACGCGCGATGTCACCCAGCAGCCTCCTCAGCTCAGCGAGTGTCCAATCCATCTCCACTTTCTCCTGCATATTTGTTGTGCGATAGGCTCTTGTTTTGTTTGTTCCCATAGTTTCTTGTTGGTTCTTGTTCTTTCCGGCCATCTGATCTTCAGTAGTATAGAGCGAAGACAGCTGTTGATAACGGTCTGCAACAGGCTGTTGGAAATATTATTTGTGACCCGCCAAGTTTCTGATCCGTATAGAAGAACTGACTGACTTGACGTTTGTATTAAAAATCCGAATTTTGTTGTTGATGGTGAGTGACAGCGGAAGATTTCCAGATTGGTTTCAGGTTGATGAATGTGTTTCTCGCCTTCCCGATTCTCGATTTGACATCCTCGTCCATTCCTCCTGTAGTTGAGACAATGCTCTCTAGATAAGTGAATGAAGTAACCTCTTTGAAATCCCTCCCGTTGATGGTGATTGGCACTGAATGTTGCTGCTGTTGTTGTTGTTGCAGACATTGTTTAAAAGAGTTCAAATACAATGTAAAATGTGTTGAAAAGAATAGAAGACAAATACCTACTTACCGTCTTCAAAAAGAATGGATATCCTCACAATTTCGTCAAAAATTGTTTCAACTCGAGTCATAACACCAACAGTAAGTCAGCTTCAAGGACCACAAGAAATTTCATCTTACCACATATAAAAAATATCTCTGAAATAACAGCCCAAATATGATGAGCGTTTGAAATGATATGGCACACAAGCCAGTCAGCACATTCACTTCATTCGATATTGTGCAAACTGGAAGATTCAACAGAAAAAAAGAAGATTAAATTGATACTATTTACAGAATAGATTGAATGAACTGTAACAGATGCTGTATCGGTCAAAGAGAGTAACCCCTTCGAATCCGATTGCAAGAACACAAATTGGCTGCAAAATGACATGATAATAATTCTTTCCCATCAATGGATGTAGAA